ATATATATATGCATAAAGTTTGAGAGGAACTGGGCTCTCCAGGAAGCGAAGAGGAAAGATGTCAGAACTGTGACTGGAGGTGCACCTGAAGAAGCCCAGGCCTCCAGATAAAGTCACAGTGGCTGGACTTACATCCTTCCCTAAGAGATGAGCAGATCTGTAGTAAGTACTACCCAGTCCACTAAATCCACAAATGAATCAGACACCTGGTGGGCGACCAGAATGCCTGGACCCATCCCTTCCCAAAATGTTCCTGTTTTAGAAGTCATAGATAGGCCAGGTGTAGTAGCACATGTGTATAACTGCAGCACTCAAGAGGCTGAGGCTGGAGGATTGCCACAAATTCAAGGCTATGTAGTGAGTTCAAGACCAGTCTGGACTACAGAGTAAGATCTGTCTCAACCACCCCACCCCACAAAGGAAAAAAGTCATTGATAAACCAAGATTAATGATGTCAGCTACGTACCCCTGCGACGTGCCCTGCTTTCCTATTGGATCAATATTATCAATATTGTGATCTTACTGGTAAGATTATAATTTGACCCACATTGTACCCATATTTGTGATTTTCCAGTATACATCATTACCTGACAAAGGTCCAACCACCAACTGGGGACCCCTCCTTGTCTCTCAGGAACTATCTCTCAATATACCTTTACTATTTTTTTTTTGGAGACAGGGTCTTGCTCTGTAGTTCAGGCTGACCTTGAACTCACTATGTAGCTCTGACTGGCCTGGAACTCATGATGATCCTCCTGTCTGAGCCTCCAGAGTACTGGGGTTACAGGCCTGCAGCACCATGCCCAGCTTACATTTCCCACCTTTAACCTCCCTTGTTCTTTAGAATTTATTCTTCCATTTTGGGGGACACAAATTCAGTACATCTGACTTCTAACAGGTTGGGAGTTACATTTTTACATCAATGGGATCCTACACCTAGAAGCCTGTTATGGTTCAAACCTCAAATGTACCTCAAAAATCTCAGGTCACAAGGGGTGTAACTTGAAAGGGGCATTCTTGTCCCCAGCTCTTTCCTTCTCACTGTCTGCTCCCTGGATGCCACCGGTGAGCACCTTTGCTCTACCACACCTTCCACCATGCTTAGAGCCAAATGACTAGGGACTAAACCACGAGCTCTGGGAAACTAATAAAGAAAACCAGTGCCAGGGAAATGGCTGTTCCTGACCATTTAGTTTGGAAGCCTTCACAACTGGTTTGCAGGAGGAATTTGAAAAGGTTTGGAAATGCAGGTTAGAGAAGCTGTAGAACTGTGTAAATAGAGTTTGGTAAGAGGTTCTTGTTGGCACTCAGATCAGATTGCTGCTAAGAATGCAGACGGTAAAGACCAAGCTCAGGAGGTTTTAGTGTGGCAGAAAATATGTCTCAGTTTTCCTTACTTTCTGAGATTTGCAGAAGAGTGAGATTAAGGTTGGTGGACTAATTAAATGGTACAGGAAATGTCAAGGTAGCCCAACATTCAGGCTGTGGCATGGGTATTTCTTGCTGCTTTAATTCAGATTTATAGAGATCATGGGGGGTAAAAGGCACAGCCAAAAAATTTGAAAATCTTAACTTTTGGTCCAAAAGAAACTACATGCAAAGTTGGGATCAAAGCAGGTGTGATTGCTGAGATCAGCACCACTGTAGCCAAGTACTTTGCTTTGGGACAAGAATAAAGACACTTGAAGACATTTCAGGAATTGGCCAGAAGCCTACAACCCTACCCTTTATGGGCTCAAGGATGTAAAATGGTGAACTCCACTGAATGACCTTGCTTTAAGAAGAGAATCCAAGCATGTCCTGCTCATTCAGAGCCATCTAGGGGAGTGTTTCCTGAGTCCAGCCATCCAGAGGCCTCTGCAGCTGGATTTAAGAGGGCCCAGCTACTGCTCAAGATGGCAACAGACCTTGGCATCATCCATGTGGAACTTTTTGAGGCATGCAGAATGCAAGAGTCGTGGGGTCTTGGAAGCTTCCACCTAGATTCCAGGTGGTGTGTCCCCAAGAAAGCGTAAAACTGTGGGAGGGAAGCTGAGGGTGCAGTGGAGACCTCAAGAAGTTGCAGAAGCCAAATGTACGGATCAGCTGCTGAGGGCATCACAGGCTGAGTGGAGCCTGCCCAGGAGAGAGGCCATGTGGGCTGCAGCTGGCAAGGTCAGAAGGGTGGGGCTGCCCAGGCCTCTGGATCTCCCAGCTTACTACCACCCACTACTGTGCTGGACATGAGCTACAGGATTTAGTTTTCCCTGCTGTGTTTTGGTCTTGCTTTGGTCTCATTCTTTTCTATACCATGGTTCTTTCCTTCCAGCATGGAAATGTTTAACCTGCACCACTGAATGTTGCATAACAAGATGCATGGTTCTATACTTGATCTTAGCCAAAAGGCTGAGAAGCAATGAGATGCATGCTTTTTTGGGGGCCAAGGGCAGATGTTCCCCAAGATCCCCATGCACTCATGGGGATGCTGTTAGGAGCTGGGGCCTGGGTGGGAAAAGCAGGGCACTCAGGGCGTGACCTGGAAGGGTCGGTCTCCCTTCTGTTTCTGGCTTCTCTCTGCCACTTGAGCAGCTTTCCTTCAGCCACGCCCCTCTGCTAAGCTGTTTCTGCCTTGGAACCAGCCAGCCACGGACAGATACTCCAGCCCAAAGAGATTAAATTGTGGGTGTCGGGTTTTGTGTCTCAGTGACAAGAAAGTGACTTAAGGCAGTCTTTGACAAATAGTGCTGGGAAAACTGTATATTCCCTTGCAGAAGACTGAACCTGCACTCCTATCTCTCATCCTGTACAAAAATCAATTCACAGTGGATCAGAGACTTAGGTAGAAGAACTAAAACTTTGAAGCTGCTAAAAGAAAACTTGGGGAAACAATTGAAGCCATAGGCACAGGCAGACTTCTTGAAGAGGACTCCAATAAAATAGGAAATACTAGCAAGAATCACTTCTGGGACATCAAATCAAAGTTTGTGCACAGCAAGCAAACAACCAATGGGGTGAAGAGACAGCCCGCACAATGGGAAAACAGCTTTGCCAGCTACTCTTTCAGCAGAGGATTAATATGTAGAATATATACATAACTAAAAAAATATTAAAAACAATCAAATAACCCAATCAATAAAAGGGCAGAAAGGGCCGGGGATTTAGCTCAGTGGCACAGGACTAGCCTGGCAAGCGCGAAGTTGAGTTGGATCCCTGGTACCGAAATAAATAAATAAATAGGCAAAAGAACTAAGCAGGCAGTGCTCAAAGGAAGTACAGCACTGCAGGGGAAGGGAGGGAAGGGGAGGCAGTGTCACCCCAGACTCTGCCATTAAGGTATTTGTAACTTTCATGCCAGATATGGTGGCGCACTCCTGTAGTCCTAGCATTCAAGAGGCTGAGGCAAAGCCAGGCGTGGTGGTGGCACATGCCTGTAATCCCACCACGCGGGAGGCTGAGGCAGGAGGATTGCTGTGAGTTTGAGACCAGCCTGGGCTACATAGTGAGTTCCAGGGAAGTCTCAACTACATAGTGAGACCCTGTCTCAAAAAACCAAAAAAACAAACAAACAAACAAACAAACCAACCAAAACAAAACAAAAAAAAAAGCTGAGGCAGCCTGGGCTAACCTACTGAGACCTTGTCTCAAAAAAGTATTTGTAATTTTATTAATTTATACACACTTTACTCACTAAAAGAACATATATTTAAAAAAATCAGTATTTGCAGTATGCTAGGAACTGCATTTTTTCCACTTATGGTGTAAATGATTCTGATGAGTACTTCTGTTAGGTGGCTTTGATGGTGCACACTTTGCAAGCCCCTACAGCTCAGAGGGGTGAGGCAGGAGGATACAAGTTCAGGGTCTGCCTTTAGGGAGCACCTGTCTCCGAAGAAGAAAAATGAAGAGCTGGGGATACAGCTCAGCACTCAGTACTGTAGAAAAAGCAAACTATAACCACCCTCCCCACTTCGGCTGCATGTAAGCAAAATGAGTCCGGAAATCACTTGTTTACAGTTACTTGTTGACTGCAGGACACTAACCGTAGCAGCATGACTGTCAGCTCTCGTCTTGCTAAGTTACTTCACCAGTTCCTAATGATCACCCTTAGCTGCCATGCCACCTGCGTAGCTGGGACTACAGGTGGGTGACATCAGATGCAGCTTTTTAATTATTTGTTTTTGAGGTGCTGGGGGTTGAATCCAAGGCCTGTGTGTTGAGCTGCACCTCCAGCTTCTATTTGGAGACAGGGTCTCACTAAGTTGTTCAGTTGCCCAGGCTGGGCTTGAATTTGCCATCCTCCTGCCTCAGCCTCTTGAGTGCTGGGATCACAGGTGAGTGCCACCACACCAGGCTGCCCTTCTGTCAACTCTCCGTGAACTGCAGCCAGCAAGTGTGCAGGACTTGAATGCCGTGAAAGTTACCAACCCAACAGGATGCTAAGCACCAGCAACTCTGGAGCAGCCCTGTGGCCACCTCAGGATTCTCCCGGCCGAGGGGATGTTGCTGCAGCCCATGTGCCCTCCCCATGGCCCCAGACTCGCAGTTTTCTGTCTCTCCAGTATGAACGTGGCTAGTGAGGTGGGCTGGGTCCTCTGCAGAGTCCCGATGAGCTGAGGTTTCTCTTCCACTTTGCACAGCGCCCATGAAGAAGGGAGGGTTGGGGCTGATGGATGGGTAAATAAATTCATGCTATTCCATCTGCTTTCTGAAATGTTGCCGAGCATCCTGACTCTCCAAACTCCATAGGATTCCAGGGATCCTAATCAGGAACATTTATTTTCCTTCCACAGTTAAGACCTGCTGGGGCTGGGGACACAGCTCTGTGGCAGAGAGCTTGCCTTGCATGTGGAAGGCCTGGCTTTGATCCCCAGCACCACACTCAATGTTGTGTTCAATAAAAAAATGAGACTACACACACACACACACACACACACACACAGTGCTTGAACATAAAAACAAACCCTACAAAAAGCCCAAACAAAACCCAAAGAATAACAGACCCCCCCCAGCCCCTGCCCCGACCCTGTAGAAAGATCTGCAGCGAGGATTGCACGACTACAGGGAGTAACAGACGGCGTGGCGTGTGGTCGAGGGTCGTGTGCGCTGCCCGCACACAGATGCTGCCGTCCTCCTTCCGCTTCTAACCCGTTTCCAGCCCCTCCTCCTGCGTCCATTTGCATTTCATGTGCACGTCTCTTCCTGCAGCAGGTGAATGCACATCCATCTGCATCCTGAAGGAAATCTAAATCCTCTTTAGTGGAGCGCGGAGGAACAGGGAAGGCCGACGGGTGCCAATGTGGCTGGAGCCACTGTACGTATGAATCCAAAAGCATCAGACTGCCTTGTTCTCTCAGAACAATGTACAGCACAAACAGAAGGTTAGAGGGGAAAGAAAATGTAATTGGTTCTGAAGAGCGTGAACATCTGCAAAGAAGGTGCTGTGAGAGAAAGGATCTCCGGGCTCCCACGCAGGCTGAGGGGTCTGCAGTTCTCTGTGACAGGCGTCAGGAGAGCCCTTTCCCTACACGGCCCCCTCCCCGTCCAACCAAAGCGCAGCGGGGCTGCAGATCCGTGGCGCTGCTTCCAGAATTTGGAAACAAATGCAAATATGGAGGAAGACTTCACAAAACTAAATTTTCCCATTGGCGACGAGCTGATAAACTCAGGACGAAGTCCGTAGAGCCGCGCGGTCCAGCACTGGGGTGAGAGGAAATGGGTTTCGGCCAGTGAGCCGGTTCTGGCGGGGACACCAGTTCTCCCACTGTGACGCGGGAGGCTCAGGCGGAAGAGTCCATTCCTGGTGTTTCTAGGATGCGAGGACGAACAGGCTACTTTTTCTTCCAGCAGCCTCTTGAGACTTTTTTTTTTTTCCTTTCTTTTTCTGGTACTGGCATTGAACCCAGGACCCTGCGTATGCTAGGCAAGCACTTTGTCGCTGAGCTACACCCCCAGGTCTGAGATTTTCCATTTGACATGGGAAGGAAGAAAAATATTCTAACACAAGTGATCTAAGAACATCAACATTTATTTAACATGATAAAAAAGAAATGAGATATGAACATTTGCATTTAAACAATAGTAAGTAGCCTTTAATACATTACATGTGCTCATTGTATAATATATACACAATGAACATAATTACATTTGTACACAAACTAAGTACTGGATTTGAAAACCTGCTTATTGCTGTACATACCTATTCCAATGAAGTATAAGTCCAGTACTTCAAGATACCTACTTTTGTTTTTTTTTTAAGAAAAGGTAAGCAATAACATTTGTGTTTAAACTGACAAGTGGCAGTTACTGCTGACATTGCAATCTGAGAAAGAAAGCGGAAAACAGGACGTACTTCACTTAGCAGTACGAAAATGGCACATTTTAAATATATATATATAAAATTTTTACAAATCAAGAGTGAAATAAAGCATTGCAGTAGCCAAAATGGGGAGAAGGAAAACAAACAAACAAAAGACAAGCATCATTGAAAATAATAGCTAACTTTTATGTACCGAAAAGCAAAAAGAAATATAAATTCACCTAGACTTAAGAAAGCTCAGATCTGGAGACCAGCAGCTGAGAAAGCCCCAGCGCGACTGCACGGTGAGCAGCGCTGCTCCTGTGCTTGGACCAAGGCGGCGGGCGGTGAGCTGGCGAGGGACGCTGACGGCGACGGCGTGTGCGTGGGCCTTGAAGCTGTTCTGGAATGAACATTTTCCAGACGTGATACAACGATGCTCCGGGGTCAAAAGCATCAGAACTATGAATTTCATAGATTTAAAATATACTGTACAACATCTTCTTACACTGCTGAAGGTCCGTGAGTGGATTCAACAGAAGGGAGGGGAGCTGTAAAGTAAGAGAGGGAATTACTCAGCCACCTGCAAGGCCAATGACCGACTGTGTCCCAGAGTAACTGACAGCCATGCAGCAACACAGAACACAAGCGTGGCCAGGAACACCCTAAAAAAAGACAACTAGTGGACCGTTTTCCTTCATTTCCATGAGTGTAAATCACAAAAGAAACCTGATGCAATTAAAGGGCAACTCAGGACAAAAAATGCACCTCAATTTGCTAAATCCAAGGATCAACACAGTAAGCAGAGATGAGCATAACTTCACAAGGATGGCCTATGAGGCAGTGCACTCCAGAGCTTCCCGAAGTCCTGCCAGAAGTGCTGCTCAGAGGGTAACTACGACTAACGTACAGCGCCCTGCTCAGCTTGTGTGGGGCCCTGGGTCCCACCCCCAGCACCACAAAAAAAGAGACAAAAGGGCGGGGATTTAGGTCAGTGTTTCTGCCGCCTGCCTGTCAAGAGCAAGGTTTGATCCCCCGTACCAAAAAAGCAAAAACAAAAAAGAGATAAGAAAGGTATAGCAGAAGTTAGAAAGTAACACAAGTTTTGTTTGTGGTGGCTAAAATATTTGGCATTAACTTGCCTCGGTACAATATAAATGCCACTTGTTCTTTGAGACTGGCCTCAAACTTGCAGTGGTCCTCCTGCCTCAGCCTCCCAAGCGCTAGAATTACAGGTGTGTGCCACCTGTCCAGCTGCCACTGGTTCTTGAAATAAAAACAAAAGAACAAAATCAAACCCACTATTTAAGGAATCTGGGAATGTATTGGAGTTTTAACCCTGAGCAGCCTTTTTATTAGAAAGGTCTGCTGCCTGGGATGTAGCTCAGTGGCATAGCATCTGCCTGGCAAGTGTGAGGCCCTGAGTTCAATTCCTGGTACCCAAAAAGAAAAAAGAAAAAAGAAAAAAGAAAAAAGAAAGGTCTTTGTACAATGAATTGTAATTTACTGAACCAAAAAATAAGGGAATGGCTCTGAATGTATAGCTCCTCACTCAGACAGGCAGAGGACATCTACCAGCTCTGCATGGGAGAAGTCAAATGGGCCTAGCATTTACGTGTCCCGTGCTTGGTGTTCTGCACCAGCAGCAGCAGCAAGTGGTGTCCATTAGGGGTGGAAATGCAGAGAGAGGGGCTGGGCACCGGGCACTGCCACAGCGGGACCCAGAACACAAGGCACTGCAGGGTCCAGGAAGACACGGTGGCAAATAAGAGCTACAGCTATGACAGGACAACGTAACTTCCTGGCTGAAAAAGGGATGAAGATTACAGCAGCTACAAAAAGGTGGAAATGGAAGTGGATCCCAGAACTAAACACTGATGGACAGATTCAGCCACAATTGTATCTGTACTCATTTACTCAGGATCTAAAATTCAAGGGGATGTTGTAACCCTGCTCACTGTGTTTCTGTTGTTTGTAACTGTTCAGCAGAGACTGGTGGTAAGCCCAAGGCACTGAAAGAGACAGGCCCTGGTAGACGCTGTGAGAAAAAATGCAGGAAACGAACAGAAATTACATTTTGTACCTCACAGTTTTTCCTTAAAGGAAAAAAAAAAAGTGCTGCTAAGTATGAAATGATAGATAAAAATAAGCAACAGCCTGTGCAAGTTTTTCTTTTTTTATAGCAGGGGGATTGAACCCAGGGCCTTGTGGACAGTAGGCAACTGCCCAGAACTGAGCTACACCTCAGGAAGGGAGGCTCAAGAGTAAGCACTGAGAATGTTACTCTCACGTGGAGAACCGTGCACTGAAGAACACTGTTCAAGAAGGGCTTCCCCTCCTCCCTGTTTACACAGCCCCCTGAACTTAAAAGCAGCAACAGCCGGGGATTTAGCTCACTGCTTCTGGTGCCTGCTTCACAAGTGCAAGGACCCGAGTTCAATCCCCGGTACTAAAAAACAAACAAACAAACAAACAAACCCCAGCAACTTCTAAGAGATCTGAGTTTACTGCTTCACCCAGCTGGCTGCATCACACGTCTTTGCTCTCCAAAGTAACTAAGGCCCGCAAGGCGGCCAGCTCTCACTAGGGGCGCACTGGGGCCCAGACCTTCTGCCAGCTGCCCTCAGGCTGTGGTCTCCAGTGCACCCTGAGCCAGGGGAAGGGGCCATTAGAATAGCAAACCACCATGAGCACGAGCAGGGGCGACCACGTACTTGGAGCTACACACACATGAAGTGCGAGCCTTCCGGGAGCGGTGGCTGGGCAGGCGGGAGCGATGGCTGGGCAGGCGGGAGCGACGGCGCAGGCCCGGGCTCCGGCTCCAGAGGTGGGGGCAGACTTTTCCCTGCAACACAGGAGAGCGTGGTCAGCACTGCTGGGGCAGCTCGCCCGACCCGGCGCAGTTCTTCCTCTTTCCTTGGAAGTTCGATTGGAGGCGTCCACCCTCCCCCGTCGGTGCTCAGTGCCTCTGCGGTCATTTCGAGCTCACGCAGCAGAGGACAGAGATCGGGCGTCACAGGGGAAGGTGTGACAGCTGCACAAGAGGCAGTGCTCAGGGTGTCTGCAGGGAATGGGGACTGCTCTGTCCTACCCCACTGCTCCTAGGAAGCAGTCTTGAAGGACTGAGTGGGGCAAAGAACAATCCAGAGGGGGACTTAATAGGCACTACACACCCTCTAACAGGCCCTAACACACCCATCCTACTTATTTTTTCGCATGCTGGAAACTGAACCGAGGGCTTTGCAATTTTGAGACAAGGTCTCACTAAGGCCCTTAGCAGCCGTGCTGGGCTTGAAGGATCTTACTGGAGCAAACCTGGCACATGGCCCTTCACGCCATGTCTGATCCCACCCCCACGGACACTGCAGACACAGGCAGTTGGGTGGCTCCCTTTTTAGTATTGCCACGGGAGGAATGAGTTCAGAAGTCCAGAGGAAAGGCCTGGTGGAAACTGATTGTGCAGTACCTACCTGCCGGGGTTTGGTTTTCTCTGGAAATCTCAGGAGTCGACGACTGAGAAGTAACCCTTTCTTCCTCTTCGTGAATGCTGTCCTTCACGTATTCCTCATGACGGCCTTCCGGTTTATGATTTGGAGTCTGCATCTCACCTTCAGGGCTAAAAGAAACACACTGGTACTTTAACAGCTACTACAGAATACTATGGATTTTTTGGTCCAGTTTTTTGTAAGTGAAACTTTTAATCACATAGAAAAGATGTTACCACCTGTATTTACCAATGGCTACCATTCTGCTTGGGATCCCTCTTTTCTTTTTTTGTACCAGGGATGAAACTCAGGTCCTTGCGCTTGCGAGGCAGGCCACTGAACCGCTGAGCTAAATCCCTAGCCCTGTTTCTTGTTTCTGAGATGAGCTCTCACTGCACAGCCTAGGCTGGGCTTGGGCTTACACCACAATGCCCACTCACACTCGAGGGGATTTTAACTTGTATTAGCAAGCTTTTGCAGTACACGTTACCTTTATTATGAGGAGTTGGCCCATGTATATGACACAACTTAATTCTTTTCATTGACTCTTCCCCTCCTATACATATTTAAAACATAAATATTTTAGTATGTTTTGATTTTTCTGCTCGCAAAGACCCAATCACTGCTCCAATTTTCCTATTTCATAATGCTATCTAAAAGCCATCAAGCTGGGTGTGTGGGCACTCGTCTGTAATCCCAGCACTCCTGAGGATGATGCAGGAGGATCACACCATGAGTTTGAGGCCAGCGAGTCCCTGTCTCAAAAAGACCAAAAATCAAACCAAACCAAACCCAACCCAACCATCAAGGCCCATTCACTGTGTTGCCTGACAAGTCTGTCTTTTTTGTCTTACTGTGTAGCCCTAGCTGGCCTTGAAGTTGCAGTGATCTTCCTGCCTCGGCCTCCGAAGTGCTAGGCACACATCATACCAGGCTATGAGAAGTCACTTAAAGCCTACTTTAAAACAAACTATACCTCTTTTCCTCTTTGGGATTTATCAGTGAAAGAGCCTTGTTTATCTATCCTATATAGTTTTCCACACTGTGGATTTTTTTGGTTTGTTTCATTTTTAGACAGGGTCTCGCTGTGTAGTCCGGAGGCTGGCCTTGAACTCACTGTGTAGCCCAGGCTGGCCTCGAACTTGCAGTCATCCTCCTGCATCAGCCTCCGGAGGGCTGAGATTACAGGTGTGCACCACCACGCCCAGCCAAGACAATGAGTCTTGGTCATTTGGGTTCAGCAGGTGCCGGGTTACACTTCACTAGTTGGGTTCAGGCACTGTCGTGTTCATGGACTGTTTCTTTCTGTGATGTCGCAAATGATCAGTTTCTCTGATAGGAGAAAGCCAAAATACACATAATTGAAGGAGCAAAACTGAAGATGTCAGGAAACAGGAAAGACTTGGCGGAGACAGAAAGAGATGCTCGGTGCGGAAGGGAAGTGAGTGATGAAGAGGCGAGATGTCCGTAGCAACACACAATGAATGCAGTTATTATGTGATGCAAACATACAGCAGTAGAAAACCATCAGTGAGCTCAGGGTTGGCAGTGCAATCTGCTCATCACTTTGTTCCCTGGAAGATTTTCAGCTAATAGCATCAGCAGCCACTGAGTACTGTGAAAATCCATTATTTCTTTTTTTAAATGTTTTGTGGCACGTGGAATTGAACCCAGCACCTCATGCTTGTGAAGGAAGAGTCTGACCAGTACGCTCCATTCCTAGTCCTAAATCCATTATTTCATTAGTGTTAGTGGAACAATGACTTGGAAATCTCTCACATTTTACTGACCGGAAGGCTTCTGAAAAGAAAAAGCCCTCAAACTGTTTGGTTACAGCTTATTTGGGAAGAGCAAGATAAACACTTGATTCTTTTCCTCTACATTCTATTTTGGAATTAAGAGTGGGTTCCTTAACATACTTCAACATGGCCATTGTTTTAACTTCTAAAAAATTTTATTTTTTGTACTGGGGGCTGCTGAGATGTCTGGTTGGCCTGATTTTGCAATCTTCCACCTCAGCTTCCCAGAGCACTGGGATTGCAGCTGTGTGCCCACTCTGCCCAGCAAGCAAATGGACTCTTAGTGTACTGTTTTTTTTGGGGGTTATGTTTTAATCTGTATCTATTGCATATTAATACAAAAATTCGGGCCGGGGATTTAGCTCAGTGGTTCGGTGGCCTACCTCGCAAGCACAAGGACCCGAGTTCGATCCCCGGTACCAAAAAACAAAACAAAACAAAAATTCCTCCTAGATTCTTTAAGTCAGATACAGCCAAAAACTTTCAAATGTGCTAGTCACTGATGAAATGAAGTCATTCTTAGTAATACTAAATCACAGCATATTTTGCTTTTTTTCAGAGAGAGTCTCACTATGTAGTTTTCAGGCTGGCCTTGAACTTGAGGTGATTTGATCCTCCTGCCTCAGACTCTCAAGTACTAGGATTACTGGTGGTGCCCCCATGCCTGGCTAGCAGATTCTTTCTCTCCTTCCTTTCCAAGTTTGTAGTCCAAAGTTGCTTCAAATTGATTCTCCTGCCTCAGCCTCTAGATTACAGGGATATTCTACCACACTTGGCTCTTAACATCATTTTCATGAGGTATTATCCTAAGTATCTTAAGGGCTAAGCACATTTTAAGTGCTATAAATGCATTTTCTTATTTAATCCTTACAAGATATTTACAGAATAGAGTATGACTATTCCAATTTTTACATGTGAAACTGTAGTTTAGAAAGATGATATAACCAGCTCAAGCTCCTACAGCTTCCAACACGTTTTGACTCTGAAGTTCATCTTTTTTGTTTTAGTTTTTGGAGACAGGGTCTCACTATGTAGTTCTGGCTGGCCCCTAACTCACAATAATCCTCCTGCCTCAGCCTCCCAAGTGCTGCGGTTACAGGGATGCATCACCGCACCCAGCCCTGAAGTTCATCATCTAAAAGCAATTCCACAGTTGTATGAATAATTTCTGTGGTGGTTTGGATCTAAAACATCCCCCCGTGTCAAAGGCTTGGTCTTCAAGGCGGCAGTGTCCAGACACGGTGGGATCTCGAGGGCCCTAACCTCAGTGAGGTCATAGCTGGATGGCATTTCTGGAGGGTGTGACCTTGGGGCCGCATCCAGTCTCTGCTCCCTGCCTCTCTGGCTCCCCCTTTCTCTGGCTTCCTGTCCACCTGAGTCTCAGACCAACTCTGATCCAGACATAGTGGAGCTAAGACACCGTGGACCGACCGCTCAGAAACCGTGCGCCAGAAGAATTCTTTCTTTCAGTTTATTTCACTCAGGTATCTCTTGCAATGGTGACAGGATAACACAGTTCTTTCGCTTGTTACCTGTATGTTACATCCTCAGGTATCTTTTCGTTGATACTTTCTTTTTCCGTCACTTCTTCAGAATATACTCCATTTGGCTCAGGTGTGGAAATCGTCTCATAAAAAACACTTTCAGTTCTTTTAAACTACAGAGTAAGAAGAAAAGTTTCCTTTTCAAAGCACTTTTACCACTTATATCAGTAAGCCCAAAATGATTTCAAAACAACTATTATGATCCCCCAATTTATATCCTATTTCAAATTTTATGATAATAAATCTGGATTCAAGTATATAAAAAAATTAACATTTTTTACTAGGATACAAAAAGTTACAAAAGTTTGCCCAAAGAGATGATTCACCTTAAGACCCAGCTATTGGTACACAGTATTCCTTGTATTTCCCCCATCCTGGGGTCTAAATCAAGAGAGCTCTGAGCTGTCTTCCTGCCTGTTTTAGTTTGAGACAGGGTCTTGCCAAGTTACCTAGGTTGGCCTTAAACTTGCAACACCATCCTCCTGTCTCATCTTCGACTCCCTGGGGTTTCGGGTGAGCACCATAATGCCCCACTTGGAATTATTCTTTAATTGGGTTAATAATAATTTATTCTAGCTTTGATTATGCTCCAATTTTTTCACCAATGTATATTTTATGTGGCTAATGTATCAGTAAGATTAAAGAAAACCTATCACTTCTTTTAGATCTATGGCTTCTATAACTGAAAGGCGCACGCTTTAATCCTTAGACATCTATCCTGAAAACTTCTCTTTACCTCTTGGCTATAATCCATATTTTGGGGCTCAGCTTCTCTTAGTCGGACGATTTCTGCAGCGGGAGTGTCACAGCTTGGCTTTATGTCATTTTCTCTACCAACAGCGTCCAGCTCCTTCACGTTATTGTCCCTCCGGGCCTGCCCAAAAGACACAGCGATTTTAGACTCCTGGGGGGATGTGCGTGTGCTTTATAGACAGTCCCTGCAGGTTCAGACAAAGCTGTATCTCCAGGCACAGGAAATTCTCTACAAAAATCAACACAGGAAAGCACACGTCTCCCCCTTTCTCTCTTTTGTGCTGGACTCCTGCTGTCACATTAATTTCCACTGTGCTGACGGGAAGGCAAGAGGCTCCCTGGGGCAGGGAGCCTCTTGCTGCTGGATCTGGTGGAGAGAGATGGAGTGGACCTCAGCTGCTGTCTCTGCCTCACTCAGAAAGAAGGACATCAGATGAACAGGGCAAAACGGGAGAGGACGCTTTGCAAGGCTGAAGCTGAGTGGTGGGGATCAGCAGACTTGAGCTCAGCAATCCTCCTGACTCAGCCTCCCGAGTGCTGGGATTACAGGGTGAGCCACCACGCCCGGCTTTGAGCTTTTATTTAGAGGCCTTCTGCTACTAAAACTTAGGCCACACTGAATTGTGATACAGAGGAGTATGCGTTTTATTGGGAAGGGAAGTGGGGAGTGTTCTGGTCACTCGCATGGCATTTTACACTTGTTGAAAACGCTTTTCTCTTATTAATATGTCTCTGTAGCAGGTGTTAGGTTGAACCATTAGCTTTCAGAGAAGATTAAGTCTGCAACTGGTACAAGACATCCAATTAGTAGGCTGCTCCCTACCCTCCCCCACCTGGCATTTTTGCAGTCCAGGCTGGTCTGGAGCCTGTGATCCTCCTGCCTCAGCCTTGCAGGCTGGGCCTACGGGTTTGCGCCCAGCTTGCTCTGGTCTCTGAAGGCCAGTGTTACTGTCATTTTACTAAGTTGCCTTAGGCTATATTATAAGAATTAAATAATCCTAAGTAACTGCCCTGAAGGCCTTTAAACACCCATCAGTCCCCAAACTCTGCGCCTGTAAAACCCGAGAACGCTAGACTGATCCCCAAGAATAATCAGAAGCAGGCGCACCTGTGGGGCCCTGGCCGGGTTCTCCCTGGTGCTCGAGGGGTTCTGCAAGGGCCCCTGGTCCGCAGCACTGGGCCCTGGGCCTGGCACGGTGAGTGCGCGCTTCCGCTCCCGCAGGCAACACCCATCAGTCCCCAAACTCTGCGCCTGTAAAACCCGAGAACGCTAGACTGATCCCCAAGAATAATCAGAAGCAGGCGCACCTGTGGGGCCCTGGCCGGGTTCTCCCTGGTGCTCGAGGGGTTCTGCAAGGGCCCCTGGTCCGCAGCACTGGGCCCTGGGCCTGGCACGGTGAGTGCGCGCTTCCGCTCCCGCAGGCGC